CAGTGGTCTCTGGTGTTTATTTCATTAACAAAATAATATTTTCCAGGAATAATAAAGGTGTCCCACCAACAGTAAACTCTTATGTTCTAAGAAAATACGTCTCTCTTTAAACCTCATATCACCTTTCTTTAATATTTGTAAGATTCTGCACAAACATCTTTTATCCTGAATATTTGTAAGATTCTGCACAAACATCTTTTATCCTGCAAGAGAGAATTTCCATTTTTGCAATTACAGGAAACTTTTTTTTTTACTCTTTAGCAGTGTGATGTGTTTTTTGAAAGCTTAGTATGAATCATCCCGGTCACCAAAAGGCCACACAATCCCCACAATCGCCCTGATGAATAAACCTAATTTAGTATTCAGTGCAAATTGTTATTGCATTTAGCACTAGCTCTCAAAAAATGCCTACTCCTGAGGCAGGTTATTCCATCATAGTTATTCCAAAACATGCCAGAAAATACCACTAATTTGCTGTTGAATTATCTCAAGGATAACTTTGGAGGATAGATATTAAAATAAAAGGTAACAAGATACTTGCTGTTCTTTGTGATACTTTGGTCTGTTCCAAAAACCAAAAGAGTAAAAAGGAATGCTCAAGAATGTTCAAGTAAAATCACTTGAATGTACAAGTAATAGATTCATTTCACAGCAAATCATTCAACAAATCAAATTATTTCAATGATTACCATCAGTGACAAATTAGCCTCACAATTTATAATTAAACAATTTCCTCTGTAAAAGAGTGAAACTGTCACTGTATACAAACTATGTATCATATTCTAAGGACTCAAGATATTTTTCTTCTGGTTTATTTATTTATTTTTAAAGCTATTCATCTGTATCTACAAACTCTTCACATTACAATTTTTAAACTGTATACAAACGCAGTAACTATTCTGGTAAAGCTTATTGGAGCAAGTAAACTTTTGATAGGTACTTAAATGCCAGAAAATTCAGGGCCTGCCTAAGTCATATTGGTAGGAAGTTCAGACAGGAGACCCTGTGATGTTAAAGGTCCTGTTCCAGGGCTCGACTATCTTAGGTTTCCACCAGGAGGGTGCAGTGTCCAAGCAGGGCAGGCATTCTGGTCCCAGATCTACTCTTTGTTGTGTTTTATTGATTTAGATCAGGGGTAGGCAACCTTTTTGAGCCGGGGGCCGGGT